GCTGGGGAGGAGCCGGCAGTGCTGGAGGAGGGGGGAGCACAGGAAGTGAGGGGGCGGGGGGGAGAGAGCGCAAGGGGGGGCACTCACTATGCCCGCAGCTTTGGCAATGTCCGGATTGTTGTGTCCGAAGCTGCCGCTGTGGCTGGTGGAGACGGTGTTCTGCCGCTTCCCGCTGAGGCCCACGGCGTCCATCGACTGGCTGCGGCTGCGGATCACCCGCTGCAAGGCAGGCCCAACGGCTGTCACCCTCCTTCTCCTGGGGGGGCAGGCCCCCAGCCCAAAAGGGACGCCACGACCGGGCTGGTGGTCGGTCCGGGTCTGGGGAGCAAGCTCCCTCTCCCCATCCCAAAGGGCAGAGCCGCCACCCGCAGCGGTCCATGCCAAGCCCCCAAGCTCGGGGCCCGGACCACCCTTGCCACACATGGGCAGAGGGGGTGGGTGGGGAAGAACCCGGCCCGAGAGGCCAAAGTGGCTCACTGCAGCTCTCCGATCATCAAAGGAGCAGAGACCAGAAGAGAGACGGGCTCCTGGAGCCGCCCGGGGCTCAGGCATCCAGTGGGGAGCCAAAAGCTGGCCGTTTCGGACCCGGCCTCATCACCGGAAGGGCCTCCAAAGCTCGAGCAGATCTTGCGCCCACCTCTCCAGCGAAGAAGGGGTCTCTGGGAGGCGTCCCCAGGCGGGGGGGGGGAGGGAACCCCCGGGGCCCGGCCGGCTCCCTCACCTTGAAGGACTCAAAGAACCCCCCGCCGCTCCCGCTGCCGCCGTTCTCCAGCTTGTCCTCGTCGCCCCCCAGGCCCATCATGGACTGGCTGTTCAGGTGCAGCTCCTCGTAGAGCGTCTCCAGCAGGGCGGTCCGCGTGCGCTCCTGCGGGGAGGGGGAGAGCAAAGCCCACCGGGGGGACTGAGGAGGGTCTCCTGCGGGCAAAGGGAGCCGGGGGGGGGGGAGACAGGTCCCCCCCTCCAGGCCACACAAGGTGGTGGGACTCCTCCCCCCGCCCCCCGCCAGGGTGTTCCGCACTCCAAGGATCCCCCTGGTCGGTCCTCCTGTGCCCAAGAGGGAGGGAGGCCTTCGGAGGAGCAAAGCCGAGGGGCCAGGGGAAGGTTCGGGGGATTGCCCCAGCGCCCCACAGCCTCTGACCCTTGGACCCGCAACTCCTCTTTGCGAGGGTTCGGACCCCCTTGGCAGGGGAGCCCTGGCTGGCAAAGGTCACGGATCCTCACCTCCAGCTTGGCAAACTTCTCTGCCTTGTAGCAGGCGTACTCGGCATTGATCAGCTTGGTCAGGAGGAATTCCTGGAACTCAGGGCCCTGCACGGGGAAACCCGGAGGTGAGAAGCGGAAAGGGGTTCCTCAAGGTGTGTGTGTGGGGGGGGTCAATGCTCCCTCTAAGCTGTGGGGTCTTGTGAGCAAAAATTCTCCTTTGTGAGCTCCTGGCATTAAAGGCGGTGGCGGCTACAAGCATGGACGGCTTCAAGAGGGAACTGGATAAGCATCTGGAGCAGAGGTCCATCGGTGGCTATTGGCCACAAGGTATAGACAGGGACTCTCAGTCTGGGGCAAGGGATGCTGATGCTCTGTCTTCTTGGTGCTTGCGGGGGGGGGGGAACAGTGGGAGGGGCTTCTAATGTCCTGGCCTCACTGCTGGACCTCCTGATGGCACCTGGTATTTTTGGCCACCGTGTGACACAGAGTGCTGGACTGGGTGGGCCATTGGCCTGATCTAACATTGGCTTTTCTCATGTTCTTATGTTCTTAAAGTTGTGAGCAAGCCATTTGGCTGCTGCATAAATGAGTTTGCTCTGGAGCCCTCCTTCCTGAGCCAAGACAAAAATCTGTGAGCCGGAGGCTAAAAAACTGTGAGCTAGCTCACACTCACTCAGCTTAGAGGGAACCCTGGGGGGGTGTTCCTGATTGGTCACACATCCACCCTGTCTTCCCTCTGTCACCTGGGGGCCCCCTCCAATCCAGGCCCTGAACAGTCCCAGCCCTGCCCCACTGCAGAGCGGGGGCTACCTCACGTGTCCCCCCCGGGAGAGGCGGTGGCAACAGGGGCTGTCCCCTGGCAGCCAGGGGCCAGCATCCCAGAGGGAAGGGTCCCGCCCCAGGGGGCTAGAGGCCGACCACCGTCGCCCCCAAGAGGGCAGGAAGGAGGGGCTGGCGGAAGGGCCTGCCGCGCGCCTCAAATCCCCCCCCCCCCGGGCCACCCGCGCGGTTCCTGAGGTCGGTTTTTGGAAACCCTCTGGGGACCCCGGAAGCTCTGGGGGGGGGGGGCTTCCAGCACATCCCACCTTTCGGAAAACGGCCGGATTGGGCAGGTGGGGTCCAAAGAATGGCACGTCATCCCGGGCGGTGACGGAGACCTGCCAAGAGAGACAGAGAGTCACGCCTCGCTCTGGCCTCAGCCTTCCCTGGTGCCAGGCGGAGCCAAACACGAGGGCACGGCCCTCCGCCCTCACTGGCTCCAACTGCCCGGACGGTCCTTGGCAGGAGCCCAGAGAAGGACCCCCTGGCCGCCCCCGGGGGGAGAGAGAGAGAGAGAGAGAGAGACCCCCCGGGGCCCCCGCCACCTTGTAGAGGGTGTGGTCCGTGCAGGGGCTCTCCGCCTGGACCACCACGTAGGCATGCAAGAAGTTGGAAGCAATCATGTCGGGCACGAAGGGCGTGTTCTCATCCTGGAAGACGATGGCGACGATGTCATTGCCAATGTGCCGTTTCCGTTGCAACTGAGCCGGGGGGGGGCGGAAGAGGGGAGGGGGAGAGAGGGGGTCACTCGCAGGGCCCAGCTCCCTCCCCACGGCAGAGCAGCGGGGAAGGGGGCTGGAAGCCAAAGTCCCACCGGAAGGAGCCGGCTGCTCACCTGCTGGGCATCCCC